CCAGCAGAATCAGGTTTGCGTTACGACTTGACGGCACGTTCTTCCTTTTTCCCCTCTCTCTCTCTCTCTCTCTCTCTCTCTCTCTCTCTCTCTCTCTCTCTCTCTCTCTCTCTCTCTCTCTCTCTCTCTCTCTCTCTCTCTCTCGTTTTTTACTTTCATCCAAATCTTTCACCGTGCCATTACAAAACGATACAAAGGTGAAGGAGGCGTATCTAATGGGAGACGTGGGCGGGGCTTAGTCATGTTAGGTCGGTTAGAGGCACAAAACATGACCACGACCTTGCCTTCCACCCGTGTTCAGCGCCCTTTTTGCACAGTGCCTCTTGCTTTCGGGCTGTTGTTGCTAATGCTGTGGATGATATTAGGAAATAGTTGCAACGGGAATTTTTTTGGGGTGTGAATTAACGAAGCTATTTTCAGGGGTTGAGGCAACGGATTTTGTAATTTTTGAACAACTCTTTAGAAGTTCGCTAAGTGGATTTGTGCCAAATTCATCATTATAATGCATTATCTCATTATAAAGCATTCTACAAACTTGATTCATCCAAGATACTTCATCTTTCAAAGATAAATACTAAAGCATCTTATTTTCGCGCGCGCCACTCAGAGAACAGATGTAATCAAGGATATCGTTTTACAAGAACAGCACGGCGTGAAAATGAAATATGCAAATGTGCTCTGACGCAGTAGGACACGGAAGCAAACTATGTATATTACCCACTCAGACACTTTCATGTGAATACATCTGCAACCATTTAAGCGGAGACGCGAATGAACAAGCAGACACCGTTTCCTTATACAAAACACACACGCCTGAAAACACCGGTTTACTGTTACACTGTACGAACGCACAAACACTTATATTTACCCCCACTTGGAAAAAAAATATCAACATCGTATTTTCAGACGCTGTAGACTGTCTCCAGACAACCCCGTTTTACGAAGGTACATCCCGAAAGACAAAAGACACTTCACTTATTTCGAAGAAAGTTTCCGACGAGAGTTTCACTGGTCGGAAGCCCGCGCCGTAACAAGTTGAGGGGAAACTCTGCAATTTCCATCGGGGTGACGGAAGAAGTCGTCAGCACGTGATCACACACTCCCGCGTTTTACTGCAATTTCGGAAGAACTTTCACTGATCAACGCGAGAGGGTGGAAAGCAAAAGCAAAAAAAAAAAAAAAAAGAAAAGAAAAAAATAGAGAATCGAACGAGAAATGGACGTAAACAAATGAACGTTCGACTGCGATGGAACACGAGATAAACACGCCAAAGGAAGCACGTATAAGAGTTCTCTGTGCGAGCGCTTTGTTAATGAGACACTTAGGCTAAGGACCCTTTAATTATCTAATTACTGTGTAAATTAGAGGGGCGCGTGAATGTCAAGTCTGCTCTTTCTGAAGGTGTTCATGAAATTTGTAGCATGTGACAAATTTGTATGGCTGGCGTGGCGTTTGGTAATACAATAGACAACAGAAGGGTAACTACTGCCCTACAGTGCGTGCGTGTCCTGTGTGTGGGATATTATGCATACTGTCGTTTGCATATGTACTTCATACATATACTGTTTGCCTATACATAATGAATAAATTAATGCATATATTTCGTGCATACACACGATATACACATATGTATGTGCACACACACACACACACACACATAAATATATAAACACACATTATCATATGTATATATATATGTGTGTGTGTATATATATACATACATATAATATATATGTATATATATATATATATATATATATATATATATATATATATATATATATATATATATATATATATATATATATATATATATATACATATACATATACATACACATACATACATACACATACACACACACACACACACACACACACACACACACACACACACACACACACACACACACACACACACACACACACACACACACACACATATATATGTTCATATGCATGTACGTGTACGAGGGAAAGGGAGGCGGAGTCTCCATCACAGGAAGAAACTGGCGGCGGGCGTGGGCGGGGCGAACTACTCTAACAAGCAGGAGGCGGGGTGTCATGCGGCACCACGTGAACTCCGCGCATTGCTTTGAGAGGTAATCCTTGAACCATAGACCATGTGCTATATCTACTCTACACACTCGCACGAATCCACCAGCGCCGTCCTAAGTGCACGTGAGCGCGCGCACGGCCGTATCCCAGGAGGAGAGAGAGCGCGCACGGACGAAGGGAGTCGAGAAGCACCTCCCAAATGAAGCTTCGGACCCGCCTCCACCTCCAGCGAAGAGCGTGACCCTCCACTCACTCGCTGACCTGGATTATGTAACTCTCGCTCTCAACCTTACCTGGACCTTCATCTTGAAGTGACTGCACGTTTCCACCTTCGTCGCCGCTTATATACCTCGGGATTTGTAGTTCGGCGCCAAATACTTTTACCAGCACATTTACCTCGCCTTCTCCTTTCTATATGTGAACAGCGGGGGTAGGGGGGGTACAGCCGGCCATGACGAGTGCATGTGAAGGCTGCACGTTTTTCTTTGATGAGTCGTGGTATATAGTGCATGATCAAGGCAGAAGAGACGTTGATGGTGGTACAATATCCAGTATTTTCCTACCGGAAATTATTATTATTATCCATTATTATATCTTTTTTTTTCTTTTTTAGCTTACTTTGACTTGACCTTTTGTCGTGCAACCCATCTGCCCTCTGATAAACTTAAAATGATAGATCTCACAAAACAATAGGTGATCAGACAAGACGGTCATTAAAATACACAGGCCTTTTCAAAACAAAGCTTCTTACTTTCATACAGGCTTTTCTGCTTTCGCACCGGGATATAATCCAGCATAACGATTTCTCGGATTATATCACAGCGAACGTGTTATGATTATACTCCCACCCCCACTTCACCAAAGGATAAAGTTTATCTGTATTTACTTGGCAGCGTCAATGTTTACTTATAAGACCAAGGTGTTTCGTCTCGAGTTGCATATACAGGATCCACGTGTTGAGGAGAAGGCAGAGGGCAGGGTGAGTGGCAGAGTGAGTGGCAGAGTATATAACGTACCCGAATATTCATACAGCCTTATAAAACACCCAAGACCCACTGTTAGCGACGGTGACTGAGTAATTGCACAACCGACTGCTTGTAACAACTTCTCCCACACAACATCATAGAGTTTCTCTCTTTCTCTCCCTTCAAAATCAACAACCAGTTCCTGCCTGAAGGTGTGTGCAACCAACTGTTTTTGGTGCAGCTTCGCCTTCTCCTCAAGCGAGTAACTACCAATTTCTGGTAGTCGAGCAATACATAAATAGCCATTAAGATTCACCAGCTTCCCGTCAGGCATGGGGGGGGGGTTAGGGAGAGGAGCAGGGAAGTGGATATTGAAGAGTGAGAGTGATGTGTCCAGTTGTGTGACCTGTTTTGACCTTCTGTGCTTCGGCTGCCGGGTTGCGATGAGCAGATGCAGGCCTTTATGACCGGGAGTGGAAGTCACTTCGATAAGGAGACGTTTAAAACTATATTAGCGTTTATGTTTTGTTTTCTTGCTGCTTCTGTCTCAGCCTTTTCTACCATCCTCCTTTCTCTCTGTCCTCCCTTTTCCTCACTCTGTTTGTCTGTCTGTCTGTCTGTCTCTCTCTCTCTCTCTCTCTCTCTCTCTCTCTCTCTCTCTCTCTCTCTCTCTCTCTCTCTCTCTCTCTCTCTTCCTCTCTCTTCCTCTCTCTTCCTCTTTCTCTTTCCAGCAGATGACATTACTAATATTGGTTAGTGCTATATCTGTTAACATCGTAAATGAAACTGTTTCAGATTTCATTAATACTTTTGCTTCTCACTAATACATTTGATAGCATGATTATCCATAAATCTATTTATACATCAGAAAGTGTGTGAAATAACATGATAATGTTATGCATCATTATTCTTTCTTCTTTTGTTTGTTTTATTCATGAATGTAATACTCTAATCCCGTGTACATGAGCGTGCGCGTATGTATGTGTCTGTGTCTGTGTATACGGGTTTATTTGTGTGTTTTTACCTTTGCCTGTGTGTTTATTAGTGCGTGTATACGTGAGTGCTTGTATCCATTGGTATATTTTCTTACTGCTTGACGCCCTTTACGCCAATGGATATGTGTCGTTCGGAGATGATCGGGCGTGTCTGTTTGAAAGGGACAAGTGACGGGTGATCATGGCCGTAAATAGAACCCTGAGGGAAAGGATTTTTTTTCTTAAGCAATCATCAGGGAAGGGATATTTTTTTTAAGCATTTACAAAACCTACTTTCATTTTATGACGAGGACATGAGGTTAGGCTTGGGATACACGTGGGTGGCGAGGTTGTTCCATGTGATCACAGCATGAGACGGCCAACCGCCATCGCGTCATGGTTCTCCTTTCGATTCTTTCGCGCCAAACAATAGACGGTAGAAATGCGTCCGATGAAAGGGATTGGATGTATCAATGTTTCGTTAATCTTTTTTTTATTGGATTTCGTGATCTTCCGTTACTTGCATACCGTATCTCCTCCTTCCCTTCCTCCTTCCTTCCCTCTCTCTCTCTCTCTCTCTCTCTCTCTCTCTCTCTCTCTCTCTCTCTCTCTCTCTCTCTCTCTCTCTCTCTCTCTCTCTCTCTCTCCCTCTCCCTCTCCCCCCTCTCTCTTTTCCTTTCTCCTTTCTCCAGTCCCTCAAAAAACGAACTGCTGCTCACCAGAATCTCCTATTTACTGCTCTCCTCCGTTCTTCCATCTCCTCGCTTTTCCACCTTACTGAGAACAGAGCGAAATGCCCTCTCCCATTTCCTCCCTCTCCATGCTCTCCTTCAGGTACTATATTTCCCCATGCAACCTTAAAAGCGAGAGAGTTAAATAAAGTTAACTACGAGTTAACTGTTTTGCAACCGAGGGGCGCAAGAAGGAGTTGCGTCATGCAGCAGCAGGCAACAGCAACTGCCGTGGAGCAAAGGTGAGTCTCCCGCACGGCTCCCACGAACGCTATGAACTTATCAACTCTCCTCTGTTATCTTCAGGTTGTGTTATCATCTGGCTCTGTTATCATGTTGATTTCGCTGCTAGAGGGTCATGTGATGTCAGGATGTGTGTCAAGATAGGTCATGATACCTGCGTTGCTGTGTCACGCATCGCGAGTGTCATTTTTTTTTTTTTGGAACGTGTTAAAGCGTAGCGTCACAACCGTGGTATCACTTTTATTTATGGTTTATTTTGGTTTCGAAAAATTTGTAGGAATTCTTTTTATTTCTTAGCGAAAACTTCTTTCCCTTTCCTTTTTATGAGAAGATTCTAGGAAAGTATTATATGATAGTAGGAAGATAATGGCATTTGTAAAAGAATGTAAAAAGATTTTACCATAGGTGGTGATAGTGACATTGACAACGCTGAATAATTATGATAATATAAATAGTACTAATAATCACTATTATCTTTATCATGATGATGATGATAATGATATTAAGATATTAAGATATTAATAGTTATAATAATAACAATAATAATAAAGACAATAATAATAATAATAATAATAATAATAATAATAGTAATAATAATAATAGTAATGATAATAATGATAATAATAATAACACTGATGATAATAATAATAACAATAACAATAACAACAACAACAACAATAATAATAATAATAATAATAATAATAATAATAATAATAATAATAATAATAATGATAATGATAATAAATGATAATAATGATAATGATAATAATAATAATGATAATAGTAATAATGATAATAATAATAATAATAATAATAATAATAATAATAATAATAGTAATAATAATAATAATAATAATGATAATGATAATAATAATGATAATAATAATAATAATAATAATAATAATAATAATAATAATAATAATGATAATAATAACAGTGATGATAATTATGATAATGATGACAGTAGTAGTAATAATAACAATGATAACACAAATGATAATAATAACAGTAATAATACTACTACTAATAATGATAACACTGATAATAATAAAATAACACTGCTAATGATAATAATAATAACGATAATAATAATAATAATAATAATAATAATAATAATAATAATAATGATAATAATAATAATAATAAAAATAATGATAGCAACAATAATAATAACAATGATGATAATCATTATAATCATCATTATACTTATGCTAATAATAGTAATAGTAATAACAATAATAATGATAATAATAATAATGATGATGATGAAAGCAGTAATAATAGTAATACCATTAGTAATGATAATAATAATAAATAAAATAATAATAATGATTATAAAAAATAGTTATGGCAATAATCACTATAATGATAATAATGATGATAATATTAGTAATGATAATAATAACAATGATAATGATAATAATAATAATGATAATGATAATAATGATAATAATAATAATAATAATAATAATAATAATGATAATAATAATAATAATAATAATAATAATAATAATAATAATAGTAATAATAGTAATAATAATAATAATAATAATAAGGATAATAATAATAATAATAATAATAATAATAATAATAATAATAATAATAATAATAATGATAATAATAACAATAGCAGTAATGATGATAATAATGACAATAATGATTGTGATGATAACATTAATGGAAATAATGATATTGAAAATTATGAAAATAATGTTAATGAGAAGAATCATCATAACACCACGAATAATGATAAGGATTATACCGCTTTTAAGGGTACCAATGCGAACGACAGTGACAAACATGATAACGTTGAATGATAACGATAAAAACCATTATTACCTTCGTGAAAAATAGAAAATCCGGCAGCAAAGATAAATACGACAACTGATACCTTAACAGTACTACCTTCACTCTCACCGACATAAGCAACAATAATCAGCAACAAAAAACAAAAAACGCCCAAATAAAACACCACCGCTGACAACAACCAGTAACAACAAAATCAGCAAATCGAGTAACCACTTCACACAAGACACTCCCTAACACGTGTACAACGAAAATGCATATAATCCTCTCCCTCTCTAATCCTACTGCACAATAAAGACCTTGATTTGATCGGGACGCGTTGAAAAATGAGGCGATTTATGAGCGCATCAATCATTGCCAATTCGGTTTTAGAATGATTAACAGCGGACTATCAGAGGCTAAATGCGACCAGGGTATTTGGCTCGTGAAAAGCGCCGGGGAACTAGGATTCATTTTCCTGTTTTGGGCGAATGTGGAGGAGATGCAACGGGAGGGAATAAGTTGGGGGAACGGGAAGAGGAAGGGAAATATGGAGGAACGTGAAAATGAGGGAGAATGTGGAGGAACGTGAAAATGAGGGAGAATGTGGAGGAACATGAAAATGAGGAAGAATATGGAGGTACATGAAAATGAGGGAGGATATGGAGGACATTAAAATGAGAGAGAATATGGAGGAACGTGAAAATGAAGGAGAATATAGAGGAACGTGAAAATAAGGGAGGAA